GCCACTCAATGTTATTTATTTACCACGCGTGATAAAAGAAAAAAAACCTTCTACACATTACTAGATAGATACTTCTATTTATTTCTATTGTCGAAATGAACCATTTGGTGAGTTTACTAATTTTTATCTTGCTCCTATTGTATTAGATGGATGTACTTGGTCACCAACTGAACATTATTTTCAAACACAAAAATTTATTTCTGATGAGATCATGTTCAAAACTTGTCTGACAAAATTTCAACAGCATTCCAAATTGAAAGAATTATTATTATCTACTGGTGATCAAATGTTAGTCGAACATACAAAAAAGGATTCATATTAGGGTGATGGTACAGGATGAAATCATCTAAAACTGATCTGTTTACAATGTAAATCAGCTTTTTTTTCTTTATCAATGACAAAGTTATTTCGAACACGAACTCGTCTCAGTATAAAAATGTAATGATGAAAAAGAAATTTATCGAAATACAAAATGATGCTTATATGCGTGTTACAGTGGAAAATTATTTCAAATTAACTTGATCGTAAATATAACATATATTGACGTCATATATATCTTTTCTTTTCTGTAACACGCTGTTAGAGGATGATGTATATCACCCTCTCGTTAAGCACATACATTCTTTCTTTTCTTTTCTGCTCTTACATATATATCTTTTTTTTGTTCTCCTCACATATGTATACATATGTTAGTCTTCTTTGGTTTTTTCCCATTTCATCATCTTTCATTTCATCATTTTTGTAATTTCATCATTTTTTTCTTTGTGAACCTGAGTGGTCATGGTCCAGCTGCACTATTTATAGTGCTGATTTATACATATAAAAATACACTGACTAAACTATTCTTTTTATTTCAGTGCGAGAAGTCTTTACAATGACTCGATGTAAAATAAGCAATACACCATTATTTTAAAGACTTTTTGAATGGATAATATTATACTTTTTCTTTCAGATAATTATATGACTCAACAAATGTCTTGCTCATCAATTGATTGTGAAGACGCATCATTTTTAGTTTCTATTCCTAGACCTGAACGTGCAAAGATTGGCCAGAATACCCTTGCCACACTCAAGACTGGTTGGTATGAATCGCCTGATGGTCAACGAGTTAATCTAGAAGATGATATCAAATTCTGCAATGATAATAGTAAACTTTATACTGAAGATGGTCTGCAAAATATGGAGAAATTAATCCTGATTACCGATGAATCAGATATAATTTCTTATACAAAAATTGAAATTCGATATTGTACAACTTTACAAGCAGCTCGATATCTAGCTGCTGAAGTGGGTGAAGACCATGTTGGAGTATTAAATTTTGCATCAGCCAAAAATCCAGGTGGAGGTTTCCTTAAAGGTGCTCAAGCACAAGAAGAATCCTTAGCTCGATCTTCCTCACTTTATTTAGCCGAGACTCAATCTCGATTTATGGGTGGATATTATCATTACAATCGTGAAGGTCCTAAAGGTATCTACAGTCATCGTATGATTTATTCACCAAGAGTACCAATTTTCAAAGTATGACAAATTAAATTAGTTGATTTTATATTTTTTATCTTTTGTTTTCCAGGATGACAATGGTAAATTACTATCTTCTCCATATCATGCTGCTATTGTAACTGCTCCTGCTCCAAATGCTGGTGTGATCAACAATGCCAAAGAGTCTGGAAATATTATGACGGAACGTGTAAAACATGTACTAAACATTTTTAAAACAAACAAACATGATACTCTTGTCTTAGGAGCATACGGCTGTGGTGTATTTAAAAATGATCCACTCGATGTTGCACTTATTTTCCGACAACATCTCGAATCAAAAGAGTTTCAACACTCATTCAAACGAATAATTTTTGCCATTTTAAATGAAGAAATGTATCAAATATTCAAGCAAGTGTTCGAAACTAATGATTTAAGCACGATACATGAACAAATCGCAGTATTATCTTTGGATCATGGTGTTCAGAAACAATCTACGAACAATAATCGAAATAAACCAAAGAAAAGAAGAGGAACAGAAAGACGAAGACAAAACAATCACGTCAATGAGGATCAAAATCAAACAAATGATAATCACGACGAGTGAAGATTCGATATCGATGCATTATTGAATATTTTATGTAACATTTCGATAGTTATATTTTTATGTACGTTGATTTTTTGATATTTGATAATAAAAAAGAAGAAAAGGAAAAAATAGAATTGAAAAGATATTCGGTGCAGAATAGCATTACTAGTCAATTTTTTACATTTAACATTTACGGATGAACCTACGAGGTCTGGAGAGGAAGGTAATGCTAATGTGATATCTGTTTTTTTAGCATTATTTTTTTCTGATGTTGAACATCCTTCACCGAAGCCTATTTGATCAACTGTAACTTTTATATTACCATTTGTATGTGTTGCATGAGATGCAGTCACGGTGAAATCAGTTATAGTTTCACTATATAAATAAGCACCAGCATCGCTTAATTCTATATTAATTTCAAACAATGGACTTTTGCATGAAAATGTTGTTGTAATATTATCCCATAAAACAAATGATGCACGTTTTAATGTAGGCCACATTGTACCATGAAACGAGTTGGTAGTTGATAGGCATGTAAATATTTGTTCATCATTATATTGTTTGATTAATGTAGGTATTGATTCAAGAGAAATACTAGGTAAAATTATATAATTATAATTAAGAGTATATGGTCCAAGTCCATGATCTATCCAAATAGTTAATAAACGTTTTGTCACTGTAGAATTAAAAGGACCAATTTCAAGATAATTTCCTGTTTTAATACCAAATTCAAATCCTAATGTTGCATATTGTTGTTGTGATTGTAGAAGATAACCTATATTAGAATTACCGACATGTATCCATTGAACATTCGATGATGTTTTCTCTTGATTAAAAGAAAAAGAATAGTTTCCATCAGAAAGTGTAATAACAGTTGAATTAAAGAAACCAATAGTAATTTTTCCAGTTAGTAATAAACGACTAGCCAATGTTGTCCATGGTGTTGTTTGTGTTGTTAATGTTAGATTTGTAGCCAATGCAATAATTGCATCATCATAAAAATACCATGATCGTTTAGCAATAAGATTATGTGATATTGTATCCATCATTGCTAAACCATATTGATTATCACTAACACCACCGACAAACCATCTTGAGGGTATGGGTGATAAATCAAAATGGACTGAATAAATTGTTTCGTAATGATAAGTGATTTGAATTTTAACATAAAAACAATTATTTTAAAATGATTTTATTTTAATAGTTTATATTTCGATTGTAAAAAGATGTACGTTTCCTTTTTGTTCTGAAAAATGTGAGTATGAATGTCGGTCTTCTATTAATCTACATCATCATCCGTTTTATTTAATAATAAAATGTACCAAGGATCTCTTCGATTTTCTTTTACAATGATTTTTTTTTCACACGTTCTATTTATATATTTAAAATTAGTTCAATATGTTAAACAAACGAGTCATCGTGTTTGACGAGAAAGAGACATTTTTTATTGATCTCCCAAAATATCATCTTCGAATTACTCATGTTTATTGGTAATCTATTACTTTACTAAATCAATTAGAATTTCTCTTTAGAAAATAGTCAGTAAACAATCAAAAAGAATAATATCAATTGTAACATTCTGAAACAAAAAGAAAATAATATTTAATTCATTTGTAATGACTGAGTGTGAATGTAGGTATCCTCTCTTCTCTATCATTCTCACCCAGAAGAAAAAAGAGAAGATACATGAATAGGCGAAATGATAAAGCTAAAATATTACAAAATTGTTTAGAATAGACAATAATATGAGATATTTTACATTATTTTTGATAGAAAATTTTCATAATTGATATATTAAATCAAAGAGAATCGGTTTTACAATTACTTATTATTGATTGAGATACAAATTTAGAAAATTGCGTGCTAGTATCTTGTGTTAGTAGTTTTTTCTTTTCTTTTTTCTTTTTTTTAGTTATTCGTCTCATACGTTATTCTTGTTTTCTTTTTTTAGATGTTCTTGAAGCTTTTGTTTCCTTTTTGCTAGATGTTATTGAGATTTTTCTTTTTTCTAGACAGTGACGGATTCTATTTTAAGATGTTATCGACACTTTTCTTTCCTTTCGCCATATGTTAATGAGATTTTTCTTTTTTATTCCAATGTTCATTGCGTACTATATTTCTTCATGTTGTATGATCTTTTCCTAATAGCATGTCTAGACTCTAAAGTATTTTTTCTGGTTAAATCATAGAAAAAGTGTCCTATATGTTTGTCTATGAATTTTAGTGAATACTTATTTAATAATAACATAACATGAATGTTATTAAGTTCATATTGAAGATCTTGAGGATAAGAGCATATTCGAGCAGCTCGTAAGTCTGCTGAGTATGGTATGTTCTTGGGGATGTGTGCAGGGTGCGATGAATAAAATGGAAGTGCATATGGTTGTGCTGCTAGTTTTCAGAATAGATTTTACATAAAAATAGTTCATACTGTTTGCCTTCCTTCTCATGTGATACTTTTATTCAGATCTTTTTTATTTAATTCTGTTAATATGATTTTTATCTGTTCTGGCAGTCATCTTGAGGGTGTGAATGTGGAATATAGAGTAAACATTCACACTCACACCCTCGTTGGGTTGAGACGTAACTGAAATATTAAATTGCTGTTTTGATCAAGTGATTTTTGTAATATTTTGCATATTGTTTTTTCCTATTGATGAATAAATAATACGTTTCATTAGGACTACTGATGACATTTCACAGAGGGTCTCTCTAGGCTTATCCTCATGAATATAAACCTTAAACATATCCCTGTTACCAATAAAAAAGTCGGCTCGTTGAATCAAAACGTAATAGCAATATTGAACTTTTTTCTCGGTAAAGTGACTTTTGACCCACTCTAAAGATAAATTGTTATTGTCAGATTACAATCTAGACAAGTTTTTTAATTTATGCATTTCTTACTCAAACAACCGTTCAAATATATTTTTCTTGTAAGTCATATTTTAATTATGAGTTATTAAGTACATATACAATTCAGAAAAAAGAATTATTTGATAAGAATTGCATTAAAAAGAATAGACTAAACTTTTTATCACTAAGGATTATTGAAAAAATGATGAAAACGAGAGGAAGTATCTTTTTTTAATATTAGATATATATGCAATTATAAATTCTATTAATATTTAAGTAAATACTTATACGCATTGATCATATCAAATTTAAGCCTGAGAAAGATTCTTCAATACAATCATTTATCTAAATAATACCAAAGTGAAAATACTGAAAAATATCTGTAATTGTTTTTATCTCTCTGACAATTATCTTTTCTTTTTATAAACTCTATTCATTTATTATTAAAGGAAATGACGTCAATTGACAACAACAGAAAAACTAACCCTATGTAAGTTTATCTTAAATGCTGGTTTTTTTCTGTTTCTGTTTAATTACCTTTTCAATGTATATTTACAACATTTAATAAACGAGTTATCTATAGTGATTATTAAAAAAAAGAAAGCATTGACGAACTAACCATAAGAAAGAGTTGACGTAAATCATCGATCTTTTCTTATGTCATTTGTTTTTCTCTGTCTCGACCCTTAGCGGAAATCGAAGTTAAAAATATTTATTCCGCAATCTTGGTAAGTTAATAAAGATTAATTAACATGTTTTCCTTTTTCCAATTTAAATCAGTTACCACTATGCATATATAATTTTTCTCATTTGACATACGTGATATTTTTTGTTGTTTTTTTTTCAGACATTTCACATCAATTAACGTTAGAAAAAGATAAAGATTAACATTCTCTACAAACTAATAAGAATTTATTGCGAGGAAGAAAATTCAGACATAAACATTTATATAGTGACAACAGTGCAGCATATGGCCACTTGAGAAGTTTTTCCTCCTTTTTTAATAGTTTCTCCACTATTAATGAGAAACATGTTTCTCGGTCTGAATAATCTTTTATTCTGGCGGCTAATTCTGTACTTCTGCGTACTTAGAATATGTTTCCGAGGAAAACAATTTCTATTTTATTCTTCTTTTAACTATGAAGGGTTAGTCATTGATACCTGCTGAAGAAAAATACATGAATAAAATACATTATTCTAATTCATTGTGAATTATTCCATCCGAAGTAATAACATAGACATCCCAGTGAAAAATTGTGAAACTATAGGTCATTATGTAAGATTACAATCTACTTTTT